TGAGCACAGCTCCACCCATGGGGATGTAGGAAGGCACATGCCCTAGCACGAAGACACAGTCGCTCGCACCTTAAAGATTGGGGCTATGTTCCGGCTTCCCTAGGCAACCAGATCACAGAGCAACCTATGATGCCTCACCAATCAGAAGGGGAGACAGATGCGGTCACGTGCTAGTTTGGCCTCCCACAGCTGAGGCTGAATTTGAATTGCAATCTTCCTGCCTCAGCCTCCCAAGCTGAGGTACACGATTATAGTCGTGTACCACTGAGCCCTTCTAATTTACTTTCTGTGGATTTGCCTGGTCTAAAAATTTCATCTAAATGGAATTGTGTGATATATGGCCTTTTCCATCTGGCTCCATTCACTTAACATAATGTTTTGTCCATGTTATAGAAGAATCAGTCCTTCATTCCTTTTTATGGCTGAATAATATTCCATTGTATGTATATATCACAATTTTTTAAATCCATTCATAAGATGATCAACATTTAGGTTGGCTCCACTTTGGGGCTATCAGGAGTGATGCTGCTCTGAACATCCATATATACATATTTGTGAGAAGGTGTATTTCAGTGATCTTGTATATATACCTAGAAGCGGAGTAGCTGGGCCATATGATAATTCTATGTTAACTATTTGAGGAACAACCAAACTGTCGTCCATAGCTTCTCTACCATTTAACATTCCCCCAGCAATGTATGAAGGTTACAGGGTCTCAACAAATTCACCAACTTTAGTTATTTTCCCTGTTTTTTGTTTTATTTTGGTACTGGGGATTGAACTCAGGGGCCCTCAACCACTGAGTCACATCCCCAGCCCCCTTTTTTGTATTTTATTTAGAGACAGGGTCTCACTGAGTTGCTTAGCCTTTTGCTTTTGTTGAGGCTGGCTTTGAACTCCCCATCCTCCTGCCTCAGCCTCCCGAGCCGCTGGGATTACAAGTGAGCACAACCAAGCCCCGCTATTTTCCCTGTTTTGATGATAGCCATCCTAATGGGTGCATGAAGTGGCATCTCATTATAGGTTTGATTTGTGTTTACCTCATGACTAACTGATGGTGAGCATCTTTTAATGTGCTTATTGGCCACTCATAAATCTTCTTTGGAGAAATGTGTATTCAAATCCTTTGCTGATTTTTATTTTTTCAACTTTGATTAAGGTATAATTGACAAATAAAAAATATAGATATTTATGGTATATAGCATGATGTTGTGATATGTGTATACTTTGTAAAATAATTAAATCAAGTTAATTAATATACCCATCACCTCACATACTTATTTTTTTTGTGGTAAAACATTTAAGATCTGCTCTCATATCAATGTGCAAGTATATATTATTAACTATAGTCACCGGCTGTAGATAGAGCTCCAGAACTTGTTCATCCTGTCTAGCTGGAACTCAATAGCCTTTGACAAAAATCTTTCTATCTCCCCTTCCAGCATGCCATGTCAACCACAGAACAACTTCTCTGCTGCTTTGAGTTCAATCTTTTAAAATCCCGTATAAGTCAGAAAATGCAGCATTTTGGCTTATTTCACTTAGTATAATGTCCTCCAGTTTCATCCCATCCCTATTATCACAAACAACAGGACTGATTTCTTTTTTTAAGGCTCAATAGTGTGCAGGGGGCACATTTTCTTTATCCATTCATATCCAATCAGTGGATTCCGTATCTCAGCTCTTGTAAATAATTCTACAACAGGCTGAGGATACAGATCGGTAGGCACCTGCTTAGCATGCCCCAGGGTCTGGGTTCAATCCTTGGCAACACACATACACACACACACACATGCACGCACGCACACACACGAGTCTAATGATGCTGCAATAAACATGAGAGTGCACCTATCTCTTTGACATGCTGATTTCCTTTTCTTTGGGTTTATAGAAGTGGAACGGCTGGATCATATGGTAGTTCTGTTTCTAATTTTTGAGGAAACTCCATATTGTTTTCTATCATGGCTGGGCTAATTTTCACCAAGAATATATGAGTTCCCTCTTCTCTACATCCTTGCCAACATTTGAGGTACTGGGGATTGAACCCAGCGCCCCGCGCATGCCAGGCGAGCGCGCTACCGCTTGAGCCACATCCCCAGCCTTGTATTTTCTTTAGAGACAGGATCTCACTGAGTTGCTTAGCGCCTCACCATTGCTGAAGCTGGCTTTGAACTCGTGATCCTCCTGCCTTGGCCCCCGGAGCAGCTGGCAATTGTAGTTTTTCTTTTCTTTCTTTCTTTTTTTTTTTTTTTTAGTACCATGGCACCAGGAATTGAACCCATAGGAGCTTAACCACTGAGCCACATCCCCAGTCCATTTTATTTTTTATTTTGAGATAGAGTCTCACTAATCTGCTTAGGACTTTGCTAAATTGCTGAGGCTGGTTTTGAGCTTGCAATCCTCCTGCCTCAGCCTCTCCAGCCAGTGGGATTACACATGTCTGCCACAGTTCCTGGCTCCATTATACTATTGAGGGCTATTTCAGTGACTTCCATTTTGGGAATATTCTGAGTTACATTCACTGCATTTGATAGACAGAAGTGGAGAAATTCCCAGGGACAAATGGCTGGGTCATAGGTAGGCATATGTTCAGCTCTAGGAGAATGGCATTGTAGTTTTTATAAGGCAACAATTAACACGTCACATTCATTCTTTGGAAAACTGACTTTCGAACAGCAAGAAATAATAGTGAAAACTCAAGCCTGAAATCAGAGAACCCTTGCTTCCTGTTGCAAACCAAAATGAGACCCTTTATGACTGGTGGCATATTAATGCCCCATTGATGACAACATTTTTGCTTTTATTGGACCTTTTATACATCTTGCAAACACTAAGAGTTGCCAACTATTTGAAAATGAATTTCAAATTAGTGGCATGGCTCTGCTGTTTTGTAAATTATTTAAGCCAAACTTGTAAGATGTACTTGACAGTTCATGCACATTATTATTTAAGTTTTCTTGTTAGCTCTTAATATAAATGAAAATCAAAAGAGAAAAACTAGGGCTAGGGTTCTGGCTCAGTGGTAGAGTGCTTGTCTCACATGTGTGGGACACTGGGTTTGATCCTCAGCACCACACAAGTAAATAAAATAAAGGTATTGTGCCCTCTACAACTAAAAAAAAAAAAAAAACTTTAAAAAAGAGAAAAACTAGTTTAAATCTATAAAGTGGATTGACATACCAAATTAACCATTCTAACTAGAAAGCATCTCATGCTTTAATAACCAAGTCAGTGTCTTCTTTTTATTTTGTTGTTGTTTTGGGGTTTTGTTTTTCTTGGCACAGGGACTTGAACCCCAAAGTGTTCTACCATTGAGTTCTGTCCCCAGCCCTTTTCATTTTGAGCCAAGGTCTCACCAAGTCTCTGAGTCTTGACATTGGAATTGTATATTTGTTCGCATGCAACGGGGAAGCGTAGACTCAGAGAAAACCCAAATGCCCTGGCATCAGGGCTGAGAAATTCTGGGGAAGGTCCGGAGGCCCCAAGCCCTCGTTTTCGCCTGCGGGATCTGCCCTGAGCCACTAGAGGACGCCATAGGAGAGACCATGGGGCTCTGGGAAGCGCTGCCGTGAGGGGTGGTGCGGTCACTTGTCGCATTTATCCCTCGCAGAGGTGCCTTCGCTCAATTCCCACCGCCGCCCGTGCACGTGGTCTGAGAGCACCCATTTTGCAGATGTGCACGCCACGGAGGAGGCAGAACTAGGATTTGATTCTAGATCTCTTCCCCCTCCCAACCAGCCCCAACCCCGGGGCTGGGGATTGAACCCAGGGCCTCACCCATACTAGGCTGGAGCTCAGGCTAAGCTACAACCCTGGCCCCTTTACATTTTTTAAATTTTGAGACAGGGTCTCATTAAGTGGCTGAGGCTGGCCTTGAATTTGCAATCCTCCTGCCTCAGCCTCCTGGAATTGCTGGTGTGCCATTCCTAGATGTCTTTGACTCCACAACCCGAGGAAACCTCTAGCTATGGTTGTGTGAGTGTGTGTTGGGGGAGGGCTGCTTTTCTCCCACTAAGCCCCTTCAATGTGCTCCCCTCCTTTCTTTTGACACACTCCTCTTTCCCCTCTTACACTCCTCTCACTCATCATCCTCTCCTCAGCCACGGCCTCTATAACCAGCCTCCTAAGCATGCCTTCCACCTTTCCCCCATCCTCCTAGCCTCCATCACCCTGCCTTGGTCTGGCTCTGTCCTCCTCTCCTGTCTGCCAGGATAGGAGCTGGGGGTCCCTGGGTCCTTGCCTGGGTCTCCACCTGGGCTCCTGACTGACAGAAGTGAAGCCACCTGCCCAAGTTCACCCAGAGGAGAGGAGGCAGTTCTGAGATTCAGGATTCTCAGATGGCCCTGACAAGAAGCTGGTTCAGGCTCCCAAGAAAGCCCATGTCCTGGGATATCAGGGTGTGTCCTCCCCTGCCCCCCAACCTTCCCTCCTCCCCTACTGCAGCCTGGGAACCAGCGGCCATGGGCACATCACCCTGTCCAGGTGGCCGGATATCAGCGCAATCTAGAATGTCAGGTCTATAAATCACTTGCATGGCGGGAGCTCATAAAATCTGTTCTCCCATCCTGGTCTGCCCTCTGGGTTCTTGTCTCCTCCTCCAGAACTCTCCTCCATTCTTTGGAGACTGGCCCAAGGAGGGGCCTGAGCATATATAGGGAGCTGCTGTGGGTGGGGCTGACCAGAGAGGCTTTGGGCAGAGAAGGTGAGGTGGGGACCCTGGGAGTCTGGACTGGGCAGGGGGAGCCTGGAGGGGGGAGGTCTGTGAGGGCCAGTGCTGAGTTCTAGCCAGTGACTGCCCTGCCTGAACCGAGGCTTTCTCTGCTGCAAAAGGGCTCACTGCCAGGGTTGTGGGGGCTGGGCACATGGGTACCAGCCTGCGCCCCTGCAGAGAGCAGGGCATCCTCTGGTAGCCCTGAGGCCTCTGGGTGTGGGATGGAGATGGGGAGCCCTGCTCCCTCCCTCCCCTCCTGGCCTCATCTCTGCCCATGTCATACAGGACTATGGCTTCTGCAGCAGCAGACGGGGAGAAGGGATCTCCGGTTGTGGTGGGGCTGTTGGTCGTGGGCAACATCATTATTCTGGTGAGCCAAGCCCCAGTGTTGGGAAGCCAAGTGGGTGTGTGGTGGGGGGAACCCTGAGCCTGGGGTGGAGGCTGAGGGCCCGGGACTCTCCAGTTGACCTGTGTTTAGTCTCAAGTCAGAGCAACTTGGTCCAAACCCACCTCTGCCTCTCCCTAGCTACGTGACCTCAAGGGAGCAACCTGACTTCTCTGTGCCTCCTCCTCCTTATGGATAGATTGTGTCTTTGTTGTATGTATGGATTACTGTTGTAGAGATGAGTCCATGTACGGCCCTCGACTCAGAGAAAAAAGCACTCAGCAAATGCTAGCTACCATGATCAAGTGACTGCTTGGCACAGGAGGCCCACCAAAATGAATAATGTCTATTTTTTTCCTTTTTGGTGCCGGAGACAGGACCCAGGGCTTCAGGCATGCTAGGCAAGCGCTCAAGCACAGAGCTGCACCCCAAACCATAATAATGCCTTTTCATTGACATTGTCTTTAAATATACCTGCTTGCTCCAGAGCCAGACAGCCTGGGTTCAGATCCCAGCTCTGCCACCTTCTGGTTGAGACCCGGGACCAGTGACAGAACCTCTCTGGACCTGTTTTCTCATCAGTAAAATGGAGAGGAATCAGGAATGCTGTGAGGATAGCATGAGTTCTTGAATTCTATGCTTAGAATAGAGCTGGGCACACAGGGTCACTATTTGCATGACCAAACAACCATAGGACACTACAGCTGGTGACAATAGCGCTTATCATAAAGTATAGCTGCACAAGGCCTGGGTCACAGCGGAGTGTTGCATTTTTAGGGCCGTGGCCATGAATTCCCCTCCCCGGGAATAACAGCACGGGCTGGCATCTTGTCTGTGCCAGTCATGTGCTCCGGGCTTCACAAGTGGCATCTTTACCCTTGAAGGAACTGGCAGCTGGGATGCGGGGGCTGGGCGGGGGCTGGCTAGGCCCTCCCTCGCCTCCTGGCCTCCACCCAGTCTCATCCCTGCTCACGGGGGACCAGGGCTTTGCCACTCTTACCGTGTACCCACTTGACCCAGAGGGCAGCTGGGCCGCCAGCCCTGGGCAGACCTTCCTCACCAGCCGCCCTGTCCAGCTGTCAGGCCTGGCTCTGTTTGCTGAGACCGTATGGGTGACAGCTGACCAGTACAGGGTGTACCCACTGATGGGCGTCTCAGGCAAGGATGATGTCTTCGCTGGGGCCTGGATTGCCATCTTCTGCGGCTTCTCCTTCTTCGTGGTGGCCAGTTTGGGTGTGGGAGCAGCACTCTGCCGCCGGCGGTCCATGATCCTCACGGTAAGACCCCAGGAGTGGGGTGGAGCTGGGACAGATGTTGTGGAGAGCACCGTTGCTGAATTAGCACAACTGCCACCACCACGGCCCCTACGGGGACTCTTCATGGTGTCTCATTCAGAGTTGCTCTGGCGTTAGTTGTCCTGTCCCCCAGCCCAGGCTCCCTGTGACCCCCACTGTGGGAAGAAAACAGGGGAGCTGGACAGCAAGGTGGCCATAGCAGCAGGGCTAGGATCGGAACCCCAACGTAATGAGCCACCCCTCGAGCCAGGCGCTAAATGACTCAGATGGATTAGATCATTCATTCCTCAAGCTCCACAAGAGACACTGTCATCCTTGTTGTCATCCTTATGTCATCATCACTATGACCCTACTTGACAGAAATAGAAGCTGTGGCTCAGAGAGGTGAAGTCACTTATGCAGGCTCACACAGCCAGTTGGTGGCACAGTCGGTTTAAGCCTGAGCGGTGCAGCTGGTGAATTTCTGCCAACAATAACGCACATTTGCCAAGAGCTGCTCCTGGGCCTGACGTTAGAAGGAGCAGTTTGGAAAATCAGCTCTCTGCAGCCGCCCAGAAGCCCTGGGACGTACATGCTTTCCAATCCCTTTACCAGATGGAGAGACTGAGAGCCCCAGGTATTGGGAGGGTAGGGATCCCCATGCAGGCCCTGGGGGCTGCGCTTCCTCTACGGCACAGGGTCTTCTGGAGCCTCAGGAGCAGCCACTTCCTCAGTGTTTCTTGAGCAGGAAGCACGTGCTAAGCCCCCACTAGGCACTGTGGGTACAGTACTGAGCAAAACATAAAGGCCCTCCACCAAGGGGAAAGGGAAGGCAAGGCCTCAAAGCTCTGGAGGGGGCAGGGGAGTGAGCCAGGGAGCATTTAGAGGGAGAGCATTCCAAGGGAGGAACAGCATGAGCAAAGGTTCTGAGGCCAGAGGGGGCTGGGGTACAGGGACCTGGGGCCATGGCCAAGGAGGGAGGAAGCTGGGGAGCCAGTGGGCAGACAGGCAGGGGGACAGGGAGCGGCCTGAGAAGATGCCCAATTGGCTGGACCTCATGGGACTGTGGTATTATCCTGAGTAAAATGGACTCATCATCTTCCTCCTCTTTCCTCCTCCCCTCCCTCCCTTTCTTTTATCTTTTTTTTCTTATCCTATATTTAATTTTCTAGCATAACAATTTAATCTACATCCTAAAAGTTCACCAAACCAGTTAAAAAATATATGTGTGTCTGTGTCTGGCTCCCCTTTTAGTTTGTTATTAACTAAAACAGAATTGAAAAAAAATTTTATTTTGGGAAATTTCAAACATAGAGAGGGAATGGCGTTTGGAGCCCCGTGAACCCATCCCCTGGTTTCCCCAAGAGCAACAGACGCCACACTGTCTCCTCCATCCACCTTCCACCTGGCCACATTTTTTTCTTCCTGGGGTATTTCGAAGCACTTTCTAGACACAGAGTCACTTACCTGTAAATATCTGAGTGCACATTTCTCTATGTGATAAGGACACTGTCTGAAAGCAGAAGGGTGTTATGTGATATCGTCCCATTTCTCAGCAATGGAGCTGGTACATCAGCACCCAATGTCCTATTGCCTTAAGGGTGAGGGCTGAGGGCAGGAGAAGGATTTTCATGAAACACCAACTGTTGGGATCCCCCTCCCACTTTATGACATTGGTACACACTGCACAATTGACCCTAATTCCTTCCTACCTTCCACTACCCATCTATGCTTAAATAAATGTCTCTGGTTGTCTTTATAATATACTTTTATTTATTTGTTTGTTTATTTATTTATTTTTGTACATGGATTGAACTGATGGGTGCTTAACCACAGAACCACATCTCCAGCCCTTTTTATTTTTAAGTGTTTTTTATAAATTTAATTTAATGGGGAGGGGGTTTCCAGGGATTGAACTCAGGGACACTCAACCACTGAGCCACATCCCCAGCCCTGTTTTGTATTTAGAGACAGGGTCTCACTGAGTTGCTTAGCGCCTGACCTTTGCTGAGGCTGGCTTTGAACTCGTGATTCTCCTGCCTCAGCCCCCAGAGCCTCTGGGATTACAGGTGTGCACCACAGCACTCGGCTTGCTTCTTTCTTTCTTTTCTTTCTTTCTTTTCCTAGTAGACATTTATTTTACTTATTCCAAGCCAGTAGTTAACTTTGGGGAATACACTGTACATTGATACTTATTCATTTCCCTTACTATTTCATTGTAAAATAGTTTAAATGTGCAGAAAAGCTGAAGGACTTGCACAGTAAGCTCCGGCCCGCCCATCACTGATGTGGCCATTGACACTGGTTTTTAGAAATCCTGTTTCTTCCCCCTCCCCATCTGCAGTGCTGGGGACGGAACAGGGTCTCACACAACTGCCACTGAGCTACCCCACAGCCCCCAAAAGCCCTTTCTACCCAAGGACCGGTCCCTCAAGGGCCGTGGCCTGGCGGCCAGGCTGCCGGACTGACTGTCCCCCTGGTCTCCGCAGTACCTGGTGCTCATGCTCCTCGTCTACCTCTTCGAGTGCGCCTCCTGCATCACCTCCTACACCCACCGCGACTACGTGAGCCGCCCCGGACGCGCAGCGCGGGGCGGGAGGGTGGAGGGCGCCCTGACCCCACCCAGCCCCGCTGGCTCCCGCTCTCCCGTGTCCCCCGCAGATGGTGTCCAACCCGTTCCTCATCACCAAGCAGATGCTCACCTTCTACAGCGCAGACTCCGACCAGGGCCAGGAACTGACCCGCCTTTGGGATCGCATCATGATTGAGGTGGGCGAGTTGGGCCCCCAGCGGGCCTGGCCTCTGTGGACAGGGCTCCCGTCATGGTCATGTCCACGGGTAGATGAATGAGTGCTTCAGAGACATCCATTCCCGGGATCACTACCAGGGGACGGCTTTGCTCTTGCAGAGAGTAAACAGGCCCAGAAAGGTAATGTCACTTGGCCAGGTTGGTAAGTGGCAGAGCTGGGATGTGAACCTGGCAACCTAAATCCATATTGTCTCCATAACGATGATGATAATAACAATGAGAACAGTCATTAATTGAGCACTAACTTTGAGTTTTTTAAGATTTTAAAATTTGCTCTAATTAGTTATACATGACAGAATGCATGTTGACACTTGTACACAAATGGAGCATAACTTCTCATTCCTCTGGCTGTGCTTGGTGCAGAGTCACACCAGTAGTGTCATCATACATGTATATAGGGTGATAATGTCTATTTCATTCCACTGTCCTTCCCATCCCCACACCCCTCCCCTCGCCTCCTCTCACTCCTCTCTGCACAACCCAAATTTCCTTCATTCTTTCTTACTCAACCCCCAATTATGGATCAGCATTGTCTTATTAGAGAAAACGTTTGGTCTTTTTTTTTTTTTTTTTGGAGGGGGTTGGCTTATTTCACTTAGCATGATATTCTCTAGCTCCATTTACCTGAAAATGCCATAATTTCATTCTTACTTATAACTGAGTAATATTCCACTGTGTATACATACCACATTTTCTTTATCCAGTCATCTGTTGAACTGCATCTCGCTTGTTTTCATACTTTAGCTATTGGGAATTGAGCTGCTATAGGCATTGCTATGGCTGCATCACTGTATTATGCTGATTTTAAGTCCTTTGGGTACAAACCGAGGAGTGGGATAGCTGGGTCAAATGGTGAGTCCATTCCAAGTTTTCTGAGGAATCTCCATACTGCTTTCATAATGGTTGCACCAATTTGAAGTCCCACCAGCAGTGTATGAGTGTGCCTTTTACCCACATCCTCACCAACACTTATTATTGCTTGTATTCTTGATAAATGCCATTCTGACTGGAGTGAGATGAAGTCTTAGAGAAGTTTTGATTTGAATTTCTCTAATTGCTATAGATGATGAACATTTTTTCATATGTTTGTTGATCGATTGCATTTCTTCTGTCTGTTCAGTACCTTAGCACATTTATTTATTGGGTTTTGTTTTTTGTGGGGTTTTTTTGTGTTAAATATTTTGAGGTTTTTTTTTTTTTTTTTTTTTTTTTTTTTTTTTTTTTTAGTTTAGTTTTAGGCGGACACAACATCTTTGTTTGTATGTGGTGCTGAGGATCGAGCCCGGGCCGCACGCACGCCAGGCGAGCGCTCTACCACTTGAGCCACATCCCCAGCCCTTGAGGTTTTTTTTTAAAAGATTTTTTTTAAAGATGGACACAATATCTTTATTTTATTTTTAACATGGTGCTGAGGCTCCAACCCAGTACCTCACAAGTGCGAGGCAAGTGCACTTGTGAGGTACTGACAAAATAATTTAAAATAAATCATGAATTTGTGTTTGATCCAAATCTCCCTTCAGTCTCCTGGCTCTGGAACAAATACCAGTGATCCTTACACACACACACACACACACACACATTGATCCCCAAGACACAGTCAAGTTGAGTCCCACTGAGGCAAAGGCCAAGCTTGCCTCTCCCTGCTGTGTGACCTCAGGCAAGTGGTTGTCCTCTCTGAGTCCCAGTCTGCCTCATCCCCAATTTTCTCTCCAGCAAGAATGCTGTGGCACATCTGGCCCCATGGACTGGGTGAACTACACATCAGCCTTCAGGGCGGCCACTCCAGAGGTGGTGTTCCCCTGGCCTCCGTTGTGCTGCCGCCGGACCGGAAACTTCATCCCCGTCAACGAAAATGGCTGCCGCTTAGGACATGTAGACTACCTGTTCACCAAGGTATGTCCCTTCCCTTTGCTGTACCTGTCTCACCATCCTTTTCTGGTCTCTGCTCCCTCCCACCACTCCCCTTCTGTACCAGGGATAGAATCCAGAGGCACTCCACCACTGAGCTACCCGCCCAGCCCTTTTTATTTTATTTGAGATGGGGGACTGGCTAAGTTGCTTGGGTTGGCCTTGAACTTGTGATCCTCCTGCCTCAGCCTCCTGAGTTGCTGGGATTAGAGGCGAGAACCCCAGAGCCTGGCAGCCTCTCTGCTTCTTATTCTTTCTTTCCCACAATCTGTTCTCCTCCCCTCTCTGGCTTCCTCTTTCTCTCCTCTCTCCCCCGTTGTCCCAACTCTCTCTGCAAATCATCAGGAAGCACACGGGATCTGACTGACCCAGACCCGGCACCTGCAACTTGTCTCAGGTTGTCCAGAAATGAGAGTAACAACAAGAACCGCAGCCCAACATCAGTAACGACCCACATTTCCCAAGCCTTTCCTTTGTACAAAACAATCTTCCAAGGGCTCTCAGACTTATTTAATCCTCACGACAACCTTATGAGGTAAAGATTACAATTACCCCATTTTACGGAAGATAAAACTGAGACGTCAGTCACTAGTGAGCTGGGAATGGATTTCAGGCAATCAGAAACCAATGAGGTGCTTTAACTACCTCAAGACCAGGACAGAGACGGGTAGACTAAGAAGAGAACTGGTCCCACTGACTGCTTTTGGCTGCCTGGGACCCTACAATGGCATGTCCTGGATCAGGGACTGGGGAGCCCGGGTGCCAGTCATTACCAGGGTCAGAACAGAACAACCATTTCTCAAGCCCCAGCTGCCTGCAGAGCACTTAGAAGCATCACGTTGTGAGATTCTGTGGCTGCTCTCCAGATTGCCACTTCACAGATGGGAAAACCGAGGCTCAGTGGGCCAGAATAATACTCAGGCCCTACTGTGGAAAAATGGCAGAGTTGGTCCCCCACTTCAGCTCTGACTCCAGGGCATACACCCTGAGCCTTTGTTCTTGGCTGCTGCCAGGCTGGGATGGGGATCTACATGAAGGTGACGCTGGTGTGGTGCTCTGGCCCCACTCAGCCCCATCTCTAAATGGGCAGGTGTCAGAACCAGACTAAACTTAAGGATGGGTTTCAAACTCTTGGGACCTGTGGGCAGCATGAAAAGTGGGGTTCATACAAAATCACCTTGGGCTGGCACTTCAGGGCCACCATCAGGGGGAAACTTATTTGCACAGGATCTGGGATCAAAGTCCCCTCCCTGTTCCCCAAAACCTGCCTGGAAGGTAGATACCACCGTGATCCTATGGCCCAGGTGGGGACACCAAGGCTCAGGGACAGAAGTGACTTCTCCAAGGGTGCACAATGGCTGTCCTTCAGCTGCCAGCCTCCGGGGGCACCTTGTCAAGTCCCTCTGTCCCCCTGCCCAGGGCTGCTTCGAGCACATTGGCCACGCCATCGACAGCTACACCTGGGGCATCTCGTGGTTCGGCTTTGCGATCCTGATGTGGACGGTGAGCGGCGGGAGCCCACGGGCTGGGGGGACGGGGGTGTCGGCGGGGCACCCCCACCTCACTGCCTCCCCACCAGCTCCCTGTGATGCTGATAGCCATGTACTTCTACACAACGCTCTGAGGAACAAGGAGAGGCCACCTGCGCACCTCGGTGTCCCCAACTTGCTGCTCCCGCCTCCTCCAGCTGGGGCCTCCACGGCCACCTCGCCCCTCCCCTCTTCCAATCCCAAGACTCTTTTCCAGGTTTCTAAGCCCTGCTGACCCTAGGTGTGTCCTCCAAACCTCTGGGTTTGTGTGCCCTTGCCCTTTGCCCTTGGCCTCACATCACCAGGCTGATTCCTGACCCATTTTTAGGTGTCAACTTAAAGGTCCCGTCCTCCAGGACTTCCGTGACCACGCCCACCGGCTCACAGAGGCCGCCCCTGTAGCTCCCGAACTTCTCCCAGTGGGTGTATTGCGATTCCTGCTGTTATTTAATTATCTGTTGAAGCTCTGATAGACTAGGATTGCCATGAGGGGAGGGACAAGTTTTATGATGATCGCTTTACTGTCCCCATCATTACCCAGTTCAGGACTAAGCATGGACCAGATTTTCAATAAATGCTGATGGATTGATTGATGGCTTCATTTTCTTTTGGAGTGAGGGTGAACGAAAAAGATAGAGGTGGCAGAAATCCAACTCGCACTGACTGAAAGCATAAAGTGGAATTTATTGGTTCATGACACTGGCTTCAGGCATGTCTGGATCCAGGAGCTCAATCAAGGGTTCTAGAAGATCTGCTGTGTTCTCTAGATTTTTATCTTTATAGCTAAGCAACACAGGATTGAGGAAGGGCCTCTCTCCAAATAGCCTTAGCCAAAGTCAGGACTTAAATCTCACTGTCTTAGTTTAGGTATTGGCTCATCCTGTAGCTGGGGAAGGGAAGGCACTGCTTGATAATGCTGCTAAGGATGTATCCATGATGGTGATAGGGAAGGGATTTGTTTATCACAAGACTGTTGAGATATACAAGTGATAGACATATTTCTCCTAGGAACTGTAGCTTCCAGCAATTCTCTAAAGGTTCCATGACAGAATCTCAGTATCTTTTTTTGTTGTTGTTGTTACCAGGGATTGAACTCAAAAGCACTCAACCATTGAGCCACATCCCCAGCCTTATTTTGTATTTTATTTAGAGACAGGGTCTCACTAAGTTGCTTAGCGCCTTGCCATTGCTGAGGCTAGCTTTGAACTCCCAATCCTCCTGCCTCAACCTCTGGGATTACAGCTGCTGGGATTACAGGCGTGCATCACCGCATCAGCTTCAGTATCTCTCTTTTGTTGTCTCTAAATCAGCTCCATACTTTGGCTGTTATGCAGCAACTACAATCTTGCAGAAGGGCCTGGTTTCCTTTCCTATCAAATGAGGTTTCTCTGCGTCCTCATTTTCTCCACTGGTCTGTAGATGGTCTATAAATTTTTTTTAAAAAAATATGTACCTTAAAAATTGTAATGACCAAAAAGGTCATTATTTATTAGAGTGAAAAGTAAAAAACAACCTACCATCCATCATCAGAAAATGGTTTATATAGTTCATTTTCTTAGACTGGAATTCTCTATGGCTGTCAAAAAGAAGACAGCTCTTTATGAGTTGATATAAAAAGATGTCATAATGGCATAAATAATTAGAAGGCACATATAAGGAAGTTTGTTGTAGTAACGTAAGTAACCATTAGTAGGGGACTGGTATGCTATGTCCATTTCTAAAATACCACATATAGTACAAAATAAAGAATGAGAACTTTGTGTTTTAGCATGGAAAAAGCTCTGAGAAATATAGAGTAAAACCTGGGCACATCTGTAATCCCAGCAACTCAGGAGGCTGAGGCAGGAGAATCTCAAATTTGAGCCTCAGCAGCTCAGCGAGATCCTATCTCAAAATAAAAAATAAAAGGACTGTGGATGTAGCTCAGTGGTAAAGTGACCCAGAGCTCAATCCCCACTAGCAACAACAACAAAAAAGAAAATACAGAGTAGAAAAAAATTGGAAATTATATACATTACTTTTATTCTTGTAGATACATATGTAGGATTGGTCCAGCAGAACTTAAGCCTTTTTCTTTGTTTTTATTAAAAAAAATTTAACTGACATAAAAAACATAAAAATTGTACACATTTATGGGATACCATGTGATATTTTGATACATATACATGGTGTGATGCTTAAATCAGGGTAAACATAACCATCTCCTCAGATATTTGTTTGTTTGTTTGTTTTTGCAGTACCTGGGATTGAATCTAGGGGTGTTCTACCACTGAGAAATATCCAGACCTTTAAAAAAAAAAAAATATATATATATATATATATATATATATATATATATATATATATGTATATATATATATATTTGTGTATGTGTGTGTATATATATATATATAAACCTTTATTTATTTTTATGTGGTGCTGAGAATCCAACCCAGTGCCTCACAAACTAGGTAAGCACTCTACCACTGAGCTATGACCAGCCCTCCAGATCTTTTTATTTTATTGTGAGACAAGGTCCTTGCTAAGTTGCCCATGATGGCCTTGAATTTGTGATCATTCTGCCTCAGCCTCCCAAGTCTCTGGGATTACAGGTGTGCCACCATGCCCAGCTTATCATTTTTTGTAGCAAAAATGTTAAAAAATTATTTCCTTCTAGCTTTTTGAAATATAAAGCATATTATTGTCATCTCTAGTCACCCAGCTGTGAATAGCACATCAGAACTCCCTGCTCTTCTCTAACTATAACTTAGTATGCACTGACCTTTTTAAAGAAATGGTTTGATGTTTTCAAAATAATGTTTAAGAGAATGGAATTTTCAAAAGCTTATATGTACATTTTATGGAATCATGTCTTTGTTTTTTTGTTGTTTTTTTTTCCTTTGTTCCGTGCTGGGGATTGAACTCAGGACCTTGTACATGCTAGGTAAGCACTCTACTACTGAGCCACATCTCCAGCCCTGGAATTATGCTTTAAATATTGCTTTACAACTTTTGTCTTTGCCTAACTATATATATATATATATATATATATATATATATATATATATATATATATATGAATTTTTTTTTGGTGATGCTGGGGATTGAACCCAGAACCTTGTGCATGAGCTATATCCCCAGCCCCCAACCTAACCATATATTATTAAGTCAGTGAATATGAATCTACTTTCTTTTTTGGTAGTACTGGGGATTGAACCCAGAGCCTCATGCATGCTATGTAGGCACTTTATCATTGAACAATATTCCCAGTTCTGAATCCACTTTTTAAAAACACTGTTGCAATGTATTCCAGAGTATAGATGGTGTCGCAGTGGAGCACTGAGCTAAAGTGGTTTTGTTTTTATACTAAGAGTACATACATACCTATTTCCCTTGAGAGACTCCTTTGAGGAGTAAAGTGGGGATGGGGCTGAGAGGAATATAAAGCTTATAATGTTTGAAACAATTTTTATAAAGATCATTTATTATTCTTTAGAAACAAAAATAAAGGGATTTCTAAAATACCAAATAACATGCCACTTTATTTTTTAAACTAGAATTTCTAAAACACTACCTAGATGTGATACACAAGGTATATTTTTAACACTTAAGAGTCCCTCTAGGCTGGGTGTGGTGGCGCATGCCTATAATCCCAGTGGCTCAGGAGGATGGCAAGATCAAAGCCAGCCGCAGCAATTTAGCAAGGCCCTAAGCAATTTAGGGAGATCCTGTCTCAAAATAAAATATAAAAGGGGCTGGGGATGTGGCTCAGTGGTTAAGTGCCCCTGGGCTCAATCCCCAGTACAAAAAAAAAAAAATTCTCAGGGTTAACTGGCCTAACTGGCTTTTCTTCAGTCTCTGGAATGAAACTTGTCCCCAGTCCCTCAGTACATATTTGTCCAGCTCATAAACAAGTTGAGGAAATGGGGGGATTCTATCTTAACCTGCTTTTAAAGTCAGGTGTCTTCCTGAGCAAGGTTACAGTGACAGTCTGTGGCTGGGATTCTCTGAAGCAAAGAGGCAGCACTGGGTTCTCAGGGGCCCCAACACCCTCTCTGAGCCTCCATGTGCCCCTCTATATAATGACGTGTAACAGTCCCTAGCTTACGGCAGAAAGCCTCATCCTAAGAGCTCAAGAAATGGTCAACCTTTTTATTACGAATCAGGGATTTTCTCCACTCTTTGTTACCAGAAAAAAAAAAATGCATAAAGAAACTGCCTGTTGGGACCGCAACTATTTCTGGTAAACCCCAGTTTCAAATGTTTAGGGTTCCTCCACCCATCCTCACCTTTCAGAAGCTGAATCATTGAAGTGACTTGAATATTTGCATTTAGGAAAGTAAAGTCACACTTGAAATTCAAAGTGCTTTCACTGAAAAATGTCCACCCCCTGGGGTAAGCATATTTTGAATTAATATGAAATATTTGGCAGAAAAAATTTAAAGAATATTTATGAAGTTATTAGAAATCAATATTATAAAATTCGGTTTTCCCTTAAAAGTCACACTGAAAATCAGTATTTGATGGCATGGCAAATACCTGAGAAATTGAGAACTAAAAATTTATGTGATTAAAAACCCATGTGCGGGGCTGGGATTGTGGCTCAGTGGTAGAGCGCTCGCCTATCACAGGTGGGACCCGGGTTCAATCCTCAGCACCACATAAAAAATAATAATAATAATAATAAAGGCATTGTGTTGAAAAAAAAAAAAAACCCATGTGCATGTTGGCTCCTAAAATTAAAAACACACACATACACACACACAAAATCTCCATAAGGTTAACATTGATTATTAAGGAAAGGGGGACTTACAAGGAATTCTTATTTCATTTCTTGGGTATTTGGGTATTTTCCAAATAGTTTATGATAACTGCTTTTGTCTTCCAACAGAAGTCAAGAATTAAATATCAATAAAAATGCCACTGCTAGACAGGACATGAACATGGGGCAAGAATTATTCTGCTAAACACATCCGTCTTTCCCTGAGCAGTTAAGACAGGCCAGATCTTGCCAGATGGGAGGATCTTGGGGTGGAGCTGGCCTCCAGGTGGTCAGGTAGGCAGGCCTCCATCTCTGCCCCAGGTCTGCCCCAGGTCTGCCCCTATCTCCCATCTGGCCAAATACCTGCAGAGCGTGGCTCCACCAGCCTAGCAGCTGGCAGGACAAGTTTGTCTGCCCTGACCCCCTCCCTGGGAGGCCAGTGCCTGTGGGTGAGAGGGGAGCAGAAAGGTAAGAGCCAGGATCACATGAGGGAGAGTCAGCCCCTCGGTGGTGATTCCTACTGCACCCCTGCATGACCGCAGGCCTCCTTGACTTCCAACCATCCACAATTCCCCAGCTCCCTCAGCACAAGATCTCGCTCCTACCTGGCACTGAGTGACCCATGTAGCTTGGTTTCTATCTACCTCCTCAGGCATATCTCTCTCTCTCTCTCTCCCTGTCCTGATCCACTGAGA